ATTCTGCAGTTACTGCATGTTTTAGAAATGTGGTAAGTTGAGCTGAGCCGATAGCATTGTTGAAAACTTCCATGTATTTCTTAAGATTGATTTGTCTTATTGATTACTATGAACAGTATTAAAATGCCCAGTTTTAAATTTAAAATTGTAGATTTTTCTGCTTCTCTTTTGTCATTTTTTAAATGTACTTTGAAACTGTTATTACTAATATACAGATTAAGGAACGTTATGTTTTCCAATATATTGACCTTTTTGACACTAAGAAATATGTCTTTTTATAATAATACAGCCAGCCAATACTTCTTGTCTTGAATTCTAATTCATCTGTTATCAATACAGTTACATGAACTTTCCTGTGCTATATCTGCATGAAATATTATTTTCCATCCTTTTCCAACTTGTGTCTCTGTACTTCAACCTGACTTCAGAAGTAGACAGTGTAAGTACTTTTTAATCCAGTATGACTTTGTCTTTTAATTGAACTTCTTAGACCACTAATATCCAAAAGAAATATACAAGTCACATACTTTTAAGTTTCTAGTAACCATACCGAGAAGTAAAAGAAAGTGAAATTAATTTTAATATATATTTTAATCCAATATATCTGAAATATTACTGTGAAAGTGAAGTGTTAGTCACTCAGTCATGTCTGACTCTTTGCAACCCCATGGACTGTAGCCCACCAGGCTCCTACCCTCTGTCCATGGAATTCTCCACACAAGAACACTGGAGTGGGTTGCCATTTCCTTCTCCAAGGGATCTTGCTGACCCAGGGATCGAATGTGGGTCTCTTGCATTGCAGGCAGATTCTTCACAATCTAAGCCACCACATCAACATATAATCAGTACTTCAAAAAATTTTTGAGATGTTTTACATCCTTATTTTTCAGTATGACATCTTTGAAGCACACCACCCATTCACTTACTCTTAATTAAGAGTAGTCACATTCTACATGCTCTATAGCCTTATATAACCAGTGGTTACTACGAGACTATGTTAGTTTAGCCAATTTACATTTAGAGATTTATGACTGGGTTTAACATCTAGCCATTAATTTTCTAACTGTCCAGTGTTTTGTTGTTCTTTTCTTGCAGTATTTGACAGTATTCCATTTTAATTCCTCTGGGTTTTTTATTTTAAACAGTGTTTCTGAGGTACAATTCACGTAAAATAAGCTTCATATAAAGCTACAGTCGTCTGACAAGTTTTGACATATGTTTACATCTATGAAACCTTCAGCATAAAAGAATATACATACCCATCATCTTCAAATTCCTTATGTCCTTACAAACCCTCCCCCCCAGCCCATACCCTTGGCTTTGTTGTTGTGTTTAGTCTGACTCTTTTGCAACACCACAGACTGTAGCCCATCAGACTCCTCTGTCCATGGGATTTCCCAAGCAAGAATACTGGAGTAGGTTGCCACTTCATTCTCCAGGGGATCTTCTCAACCCAGGAATGGAACCCACACCTCCTGTATTGGCAGGCAGGTTCTTTACCACTGAGCCACCAGGAAAGCTCATAGAACAATAGATCACTCTATATGGCTGAGCAGTATTTCATTGTATGCATGAAATTCAATGCCAAGAATCACTGATGGACCCTTGGGTTGTTCTAGGCTTTAGATCTATTACAAATAAAGCTACTATAAACATTTACATGAGTGATGAGTATATGCTATCATTTTTCTTGGGTTAAGTACCTAGGAAACAAAGTTGGATCATACAGTAAATGTTTAATGTTTTTAAGAAACTGCCAAATTGTCTTCCAAAACAGTTCTACAATTTTACATTCCCATCAACAGTATATGAGTGTTACAGTACCCTTACATCCTTTTCAACACTTAGTATGGTCACTCTTTTAAATATTGGCTATTGTAGATAGGCAATGTTGTCTCACTTTAGCTTTAGTTTTTACTTTGGATAAAAATCCTTTATCCGCTGCGTGCTTTGTAAGCATGTCTGCCGCACCATGGCTTGTCTTTTCATTCTCTTAACTCTATTTTGAATAACGTTAAGTTTTTAAAACTGATCAAGTCCCATTTGCTCTCTCACAGACCATGCTTTGGGGGTCTAACAACTAAACAACAAAATATAGATCTAAGAAGTTTGCTGCTGCTGCTGCTGCTGGCAGCATATGGATATCCTATGCTATGATACAACTCTCTGCTGAAAAATCTCATTTTTTCCCTTCTACTGAATTGCCTTTGTACCTTTGTCAAAAACCAGTTGTCCATAATTGTGTGGTTTTTTTCTTGGACTCTCTATTCTGTTCCACTAATCTATGTACCTTTATGTTAATATGATATTGCTTTGATTACTTTAGGATTTACAATAACTTGAAAACCGGAGTTAAGTCCTCTGAATTTCTACTAGCTTTTAACTATGCATGTTTGTTGAAGCTCCAATACTTTGGTCACCTGATGTGTAGAACCTACTCATTGGAAAAGATTCTGATGCTGCGAAAGATCAAGGGCAGGAGAAGGGGGTGACAGAGGATGAGACACTTGGATGGCATCACCAACTCAATGGACATGGGTTTGAGCAAACTCTGGGAGATGGTGAAGGACAGGGAAGCCTAGAGTAATGCAGTTTATGGGGTCACAAAGAGGCTGACATGACTTAGTAACTGAACAACAAAATGTTTTGTTTTTATCCTACTTGGCATTTTTCTTCAGATTTTAGACATTTTCAGTTATTACTGCTTCAATTACATATTTATTTGGCAACATTCTCTTTACTCCCTCTCTGAGAACTCCAAGGACACATACATTAGACTGCCTGATCATCCAAAGACATAATTTTATTCTCTCTGGAAACTGAATAATCTCTATCCATCTGTACTCAAGTTCACTAACCTTTCTTCAGTTGTCTCCAAACTTGTTAGTCTCAATTAGTGAATTTTCCATTCCAAATACTGTGTGAATATGGTATTTTTCAGTTACAGCATTTCTATATGCTTTTTTTTATAGCTTTCTCAATACATTCTTCCATGTTCATTCTTTCAATATTTTCTTTTACAGCTTTAAAAATACTTATAGTCTCTGTCTACAAATTCCAATATTTAGAACATTTTGAGGTCTATTCTTATTGAATACTTCTCCACACGATTGTAACATTTGATGTAGGTAGGATATTGTGGATAATTGTGGGAAGACTGAATCATGTGGTCTCCCTTAGGGGATACTGTTTTATTTAGGCATGCTATTAAATTACTGGTGAATTCTTCACGTCTTGTCAGATTGGACTATCACAGTCTCTTAACTTAGTCTTATGATTGTTACTATTAATATTAGTGTATGATCCTTTCTTTGAAAGCCTGAGCATTCTGCAGCCTAAACAGAATGTTTGAGGTAATCCACAAGAAGTATGCATTCTAACTTCCCAGAACTCCAATGTCTCAGAGCACTGTACAACCAATGGATTCACCATTCTAACTCTCAGCCCCACAGTAGGTCATTCCTGACAGACTATGAGAGTGTTAACCTGCACATGTGCAGTCCAGGCATTATTCAAAATTCTGATTTAAGAATCCCTACACCAAATTCTGCCTTCTGACCTATGCCCAAACCCTCGAACGAGTTCCTTTTTCAGGATCCTTCTCCATAAATTCCAAATGTCTCAGAAGCTCTGAATTACAATCTTACTCTCTTCAGCACAGTGAAACCTTCATGCTCTGCTTGGGTTCCACCTCCATGTTCTACAACAGTAGGGTTTCTCAAAGGAGAAAAGCCAAACTATGAGATTCATTTCACATGTTTCCTTTATCTCAAGGATCACCATCTTATGCTATTTACTCATCAATTCCAGACAACAGCTGTCCTACATATTTTACTCTATTTTATATTTTTTCATTTTGAGGGAAGATGGAAAGAAGGAAAGGCTGCTACTAGTCTGTCATAGCCCTACAAATCAGTTTTAAAAACATTTCCATTATCAATCATTAAATGTACAGTTTCAAAAAAATGAAACTGGCAGAGACACAGATATCTGAGCTTGTTCGTTCAATTATTTGCACATGGTACCCTGACTTTCAAAATCATGGTCAGTAATTTTGCTTTGTAATTGTGACATGGAAAACTCAGTAATGACAATGTGAAGAAAAATTCATCTTATCATTATTATAACTATATTTGGAGAATACTTCATTATAATTTTTATTTAACTTGCAGGGTCTGTATGTGTGCACTGAGGTGTACAAATACATGGGCGAGGTTATCTAACGAAAATCAAAATGCTTTCATTCTTTTACAATCTTTATATTGCCCAATGTAACTGATTCCTCAAACAAGTAATTCAGGAAAGGGTTTAGTAAAAAGAAACCTTGGTTAAGGTAAATAACATAAAATGTACACTTATAAAGCAAACTCATTCATTCATCATCAGATTCAAATTTGGTCCACTGGCCAGAAATCTAAGGTCTAAATATTGGTTCACATATTTACAGACAGACAATAGAACCAACCAATTATTTCAAATATATGAAGTTTAAATACCCTGTGAAGATTAAACAAATCTTACATTCTCAAATAAATAAAGGAAATCAAGTCAGAGAATTAAAATACTGTTACAGCAAAGAAACATACTGAAACCACATAAAAATGACAACTATGCAACTGAATCTTGTATTTGGGGCTGTAGGATTTGTGGGATTGAGAAGAAATACTTACAGTAAAAATATTTCATGACATACAAACATGAAAGCTAAACACGAAAGTACAAAAGAAGTGAGAGTGAGGACACTTCTAAATGAAAGAAAAAAAGTTTACACTTGTCATTTTTTTAAAAAGCTATCAGATTTAATTACTTGACCACAAGACATCCACTTCAGTTGTTTTTTTTCCACTTGATACATATATACTGTAGCAAAATTTCCTCTAAAATGTTTCAACACAAAGCATTTAAAAATAAAGGCTATTCTGGTAAAGCACACCAAACTTGTAACATTCTGTCCTGCAAAATGGCAAATCATGAGACTGTTAAAAGAGAGTAACACTTACCTGTAACCACCATGCTGGTCATGTTAGAGTTCGGACTACTGAGAACACTGCCTGAGAGTAGTTCGTCAGATCCTCTCTATAAAAACAAGAACAGACTAGCATAAGACCCCTTTAAATTTAAAAATGTTAATCTGAAAGTCACTTCTCTGTAACTTTTCAAATAGTGTCGCTGAAAAATGTCAGGTATTACACTACTGGGAATAAAAATAATTTAATCCCTGAAATAATAAGTTAACTCCACTCTCCTATCCATAACTTCCTTTCTCACAAAGCCAACAGTATGTCCTTCCTTCCATTCACCCAAGTCCAAAAGGCAATAAGTAGGAAAAATGACTAGGTTTCATAATCAAAAGCTTTGGAAAACTACATCAATTTTTTAATAAGCAAATACCAAAGCAGTTGAACTTTCTCACAGACACTGTGAACCTTCAACCTCATATCCTTTACTCATCCAGGTAATTCAGGTCTTTAGAAAATGAGAACTTCACAGTAATGATCTGGACAACTCATCTTCATAATCATTGAAATTAAACAGGTATATGTTTCAATGGCTAGAACACTGTAAGCAAAGGCAAAATCTATGGAATGAGAAATTTATTTCTGCCAATATAAGAAGAGAAAATCATGTCTTCAAATCCTTTAAAGAAAAATCATATGAATCATATGTTCATATGTTCTTAGAACTGCATGGTTTGTTCAAACCAAGCAATGCTGTTTCAGCTATTTTTAAAATGTGCGTACTTACAAAAGTACATATGAGCACACTAATATTTAAAATAGCTAAATCAACTGTTTTACCTATTTGAAGTATGTGTATACTTACAAACGTTGGTAAGCAATATTTAAAATAACTAAATTAATACTAGCTGATTTAGACAAACAGTGCAAAGTTGAATGCAACCACCAAAATGGAAAAAAAAATACAAAGGAGATAATTTATCAGAGCATTTCAGAAAGTCCAAAACAATTCTAATTAACCATAAGCTTCATGCTAATCTGTGTTAAACTCATTCTTTAATAAGCTGTATTACAATAAATATAAAAGTGGTAAATATTCATACGTCATTGTCCTCATTGTTTTAAAAGCAAACTATTTGCTAACATCAAACTATTTGCTAACATCAAGCTCAGAGAAGTACAAGAAGAAAAACACACAGTATCAAGTCACATTAATGCCCTATTTACATCATCTTTAATTTTTTAATCAAGGTATGAAAGATATAGCATGGCACTGTTTTATAAGGACATAACATACAGAATTAGATACTTAAGAGATCCTTAAATTGTGGTCCCTAGAGCAACATTAAAAACCTGGAAATTTCCTTAGCAAAATATGTTCTCAGATCCATCCTAGACCTACTGAAGAAAACAATGGAGACAGGATCCAACAACCTGAGTTCATTAACGAGCCCTCCAGGTGTTTCTGATGAATGCTAAAGTTTAAGAACTGCTAATAAGCATTACTGGTTAACTATCAACAACTTCTTGTTTCCTAGTTTGTTTTAATTTTTTTAGAACACTGATTTAAAATAAAATTGAGAAGGAACAGATTTCTCATATACTCCCTGCCACCACACAGGCATAGCCTCCTCCATTACCAGCATCCTCCACCAGACTGGTACATTTATTACCAAAGATTATTAATGTATCATAATCACCCAAAATCCAGTTTACCTAAGGTTTAATACTGTACATTCAATGGGTATGGGCAAATGTGTAATGACATATATCCATCTTTTAACATTTTTTTTTAACATTATTTTCACTACCCCCAAAATCCTCTGTGCTCTGGCTATTCATCCAAACTCCTTCCAACCCCTGAATTTTGTTGTCTCCAGTTTTGCCTTTTTCAGAATACAGGTGGAATCTTACAGTATGCAGCATTCTCAATTGGCTTCTTCCACTTAGTAATCTGCATTTATGCTACCAGGTACCCCCACACCTTTTCATTGCCTGAAGATTCATTTTGTTTTACTGCTAATAAATACCACAATGTTATGTACCACAGTTTACTAATCCATTCACCTACTGAAGGACATCTTGGTTGATTTCATGTTTTGGCAATTATGAATAAAGCTGCTGTTAAGATCCATGTGCAGGTTTCTGTGTGTATGTAAGTTTTCAACACCTTTGAATAAATATCAAAGAGGTGCTGAATCATATAGTACAATATGTTCAGCTTTGTAAAAACAGCTAATTTGTTTTCCAAGAAAGTGAAAGTGAGGTAGCTCAGTCGTGTCTGACTCTTTGCAACTCCGTGGACTGTAGCCTACCAGGCTCCTCCCTTCATGAGATTCTCCAGGCAAGAATACTGGAGTGGGTTGCCATTTCCTTCTCCAGGGGATCTTCCTGACCCAGGAATCAAACCTGGGTTTCCCGCATTGTGGGCACTTTAACCTTTTTCCAAAGTGGCTATATAATTCTGCATTCCCACCAGGAATCTATGAGATTTCCTGACACTCCATATGCTCCCCGGCCTTTATGGGTGCCAGTGTTTCAGATTTTGGCTATTTTGATAGTGTAGCAGTATCTCACTGTTGTTTCCGTTGCATTTACTTAATGACATATAATGTGGAACATTTTTTCATATGTATATCTGCCATCTGTATATCTTCCTTGGTGAGGTGTCAGATTTTTGGTCCACTTTCTAATCAGGTTACTTTCTTACTGCTGAGTTTGAAAGTTCTGTGTATTTTAGGTAACAGCCCTTTGTCCTGTGTATTATTTGCAAGTATTTTCTCCAAGTCTGTGGCTTGTCTTCTAGTTATCTTTCACTGAGAAAAAATTACTGATTTTAATCAAGTCCAGCTAATCAATTATTTCTTTCTTGGGTTATGTCTTTGGTGTTGTACCTGAAAAGATACCTTTATACCCAAGTTATCGAGATTTGTCTCCCAAGTTATCTTCTAAGAGTTTTATGGTTTAGCATTTTACATTTAGGTGTATGATCCACCTTCAGTTAATTTTTGTGAAAAGTTTATATCTGTCTCGATTCATTCTTTTGCACATGGATTTCAGTTATTTCACTAGCACTTGTCAGAGAGACTATCTTTGCTTCACTGTATTGCCTTTGCCTCTTTGTCAAAAATAGGTTTGACTCTATTTATAAGGGGCTCTATCCTGGGCTCTCTATTCTGTTTCACTGATCAACTTGTCTATTCTTTCACCAAAACCAGGCTGCCTTGACCACTGTAGCTTCATATTAAATCTTGAAGTTGAGTAGTATCAGTCCTCCAACTTTGTTATTCTCCTTCAATACTGTGTTGACTATTCTGAGGTTTTTGCTTCTCTGTATAAACTTCACAATCAGTTTGTTGATACACACAAAATAACTTGCTGGAATTTTGACTGGGATTGCATTGACTCTATACATCATTTTGGGAAGAGCTGACATCCTGACAATATTGAGTATTTCTATATATGAATATGGACTTTCCAGGTGATGCAAGTGGTAAAGAATCCACCTGCCAATACAGGAGATGTAAGAGATGCAGGTTCAATCCCTGGGTTGGGAAGATCCCCTGGAGAAGGAAATGGCAACCCACTCCAATATTTCTCACTTGGAAGATTCCATGGGGAGAGGAATCTACCTGCTAAAAACCACGAGAGCACAAACTCACGTATTCAATAAAAATACAAAATAAATTTAACAATGACACACAAAAGAGGATCAATAAAATCAAGCTTTTGAGTTTTTGAAAACAAGACAACAAAAGAGACAAAACAAAAAAAGATAGCTAATTATACCTCATTAAGCCAGGCACATAAGAATAAAAGCTCAGGGGAAAAACTGAAGCGACCAGATGAAAAACACTCAGCTCAGTGAATAACCTCATGGAGCACAATGATGCCATTTTCTTACAGCTGCAGGACTTTTATGAAAAATAAACTTCTAGGCTATTCATGCCACTATGTTCTGCATTTACATTTTGTTACAGGAGCTTACACTTTAACATATACATACCCCTGTAATGTGAAGAAAAAAAAAAAAGACACTGCATATTTCAATTGGCTAGCTGCTCTATATAAGCAAAAAGAAATAAAACTAGATCCCCACTTAATACAGTGTAGTAACTACAATTTTTTTGATAAATTAGAGACAAACAGAATAGATAACACTATAAAACTTTTCAGAAGAAAATATCTTTTTATCTATGAGTATGTAAGTCACAAAAGTGGATCACATACTATGTAATGAATAGCTCAGTAAATTTCAAAAATAAGAAATTGTACAGATCATAATATCTGATCAAACATGATAAGATATTTTAATGAAAATAAGAGAAAGAAAAACAGAACAAAATCTAATTGTTGTAGTTTATTCAGATAAGATTTTGAAACTGTTTATAAAAATTTGAGCCAAAAATGACTCTAAATTTCACAGAGTAATAAGAAACTTTAAAAGATAAGTTACTCATAAAATAAGTAGAAAGAAATTAGTTTTCAGTACATGAAATGAAAATTACCCTTAATCTTGCTCATAGTAAAAAAAAAAAGAAAGAAAGAAAGAAAAAAAATCAATACTAGACTGAGATGACATCTCACTTCTCAGACTGGCAAAATCCCAAGCATTTCAATATGCTGGGCAGGCTATGGGGAACTGAGGAACCTGCATACTTTCTAACCAGGAGGATAAAGAAATGAGAAGATTTTCCATGTATAGCCATGGAGAGATCTTCAGGGCATATTTACCTTCCAGGGTATGTTTATCATTACCTTAAAAAGTCAAGATATTAAACCCTGTGTATTCTGTGCTATCTTTTCTCTAAGATGCTAGGAGGGAGCATGCAGAAAAAACTCACATTTTCTATTAAATAAAAGAATAAACCAAAAATTAATCAAAGTAGAAACCCTCTGTAAGGGGATAGAATAAGCAAAGCAGAATGAACAGTAGAAGTCATCTATGAATGTAGCTTATTTTGCAACTTTAACTTTGGAAAATTTATTCAAAGTGAAAAAATATTCCATAAAAATGAAAATCAAAATGTAACAAATAAATCTAACTATCAGGGTGATGGTAGAGCCACACACAAAATTATCTCAATAAACTTTAAAATCCTGTAATTGTATTGGGCT